CTGTTGGGGAATTAGAACCCCCCCCCTTTTTTTTTTTTTTTTTTACATAGAGCTTAAATATATATATATTTGCAAGTGGGCTTCTCCGTCAAATCAAGGTTCAGATTTCTCAAGCTCTCATTAAAACCTCTCTCTAAACTGATGAGTTGGCACATCTGTCACTTTTCAGGATCTGTAATTAAGTTCTAAGACTGTATGATGTCCTATTTCTCAGGGCTCTTTGACAGATTACCTGAAGGGGAATATTATCAGCTGGAATGAACTCTGCCATGTTGCAGAAACAATGGCCCGTGGACTGTCATACCTACATGAAGATGTCCCTTGGTGTAAAGGGGAAGGACACAAACCCGCCATCGCACACAGGTACTGCCTCTTTTCACGTTGTTCTTCAGCTAATCTTTCTGGTGCCATTAAAGGGTCTTTGGTTCTGTTTTAGGTGCTTATTGCTTAGTTCATAGGTCTATAACTTCCTTGAGGCTGTTTTGTTAAATAGAGCGGGTCTTGTTTTTTGTGGTGACATTTATCCCGAAAGGCTGCCAAATGCTGGGATTGCCTTGCTGAAGTGATAGGAAAGGGGTAGCTGGACAGGTAGCACCCAGTCCACTGAAGCCATTATGGGAGGAAGGAAAGGCCCGGCAAAAACAAAAATGGTTACTCTTCTTATCTATGGTTGCTTTTAAAGCACTCAAAGTCTGTCAGGAGCTTTGCTAAACTTGCAAGTGAGCCTGTGCCAAAGAGCTGCCAGTTTTAAGCATGGCATAGGTAAGGGATGTCAAACATAGAGCCTGTGGGCTTGTGGAGCTGCTGTGTCCTGCCCACCAGGCTACTAGACGGCCACCAGAAGTTGGCAGTGGGGCAGGGAGGGGATGACCAGGGGTCAGTGGCCAGTGGCAGAATCTGAGGCCCTTGGGCCCAGGTGAACATCACAGTTGGTGGCAGGAGGGCAAGCAAAGGCTGACGCAGCCCCGGTTGCCCTCTAGTTACTTTGCCTGTCACTACCACCGCAGCCCCAGCTCCAGCTCCTCGGCCCCTGGTCTCAACCTGTGTGCTTTGTGCTCTGTGCCAGTGCCACCGTGTGCCCATGCCTGAGCTGGAGCTGGCCCTGCATGCTCTGTGCTGCCACCACATGTCCCATACCAGAGCTGAAGCTGGAGCTGCGTGATCTGTGCTCCACGCTGGAGCCACTGCTACTGCTGTGCGTTCTGCGCTGGAGCTGCAACCCTGGCTTGAATTGTGTTGGCAGCAGCAATTCCAGCTCCAGTATGGGGCATGCAATACATGGTGGGAGCTGAACCTGGAACTGCTGCTGCTGTTGCCACTGGAGTCACCCCATGCGCTGGACTGGATTTGGCCTGCAAGCATCCCTGCAGTCCAAATCTAGCCCAGGGCAGGAAGTGAGTTTGAACTTTCCAAGGACTTTTTATCTTGCTGGGATCCTGTGACCCCTGCTGACTTCCCCTGGGGCAGGGGCCTGGACTCGATGATCTTCCGAGGTCCCTTCCAGCCCTAATGCCTGTAGAATCGATGAAACCTCCTGGTATAGGTGGTAGGGGCATGAGTGCAGGAGGGTGAGGCCTATTGTCAACATCAGCACAGGGGTAATTGCATTATCTTTCTTGCATGTCTTGGTGGTTGCGCATTGTTTCTAAAGTAAAGCTGTGGAGGCTATTGATTCTCTTCCTATAGGTATGGAAGAAGAGAGGAGAATTTCAGCGTGAATTTTAAGCTGGGCAGGATGCGGGGTAGTCCTTGGACATGCACCGCCAGCCCACTGCACTTGACATGGGCTTGAGTGAAAAAATGCAGTCCTGCTGCAGCAGCCTGTACCAGACTCAGTGGGGGTGTTTTTACATGTGAACAGCTTAAGTGTCTGTCACAGAAAGTGTTTTATGTTCAGTGAAGGTCCTCCAAGAAAACCCCCCGGTAGAATTCAGGGAACTTCTGAAAGAGCTCGCAGCTGCATTTGCACTGCTGGGGGGTGGTTGCGGGGAGGTGAGGGGGGATCAGCATCCCTGACACTTGCCCATGTGGAATAAATGCAGTGATTTATGTGCGAAATTCCTAGGGGTGGGGACAGGGGACATCCACACAAAGGTCCTGAAGCTGTGGACCGTGGTAATTAGTGTCACAATGCATCTTGTAAATGATAAAACGTGGAAAATCCTCAGCCCAAGTGTGTGAATTTACCAGATATTTGCCAAACAGGATTTCAGGGAGAAGGTGGATTCTCCTCTTTTAAAAATAAAATCAGTGACTGAGTGTGTATTAAAGTTCAGGGATATTTTTGATTAACACAGGATGGTGCTCTGTTAAGACGCGTGAATTTTCAGTTAGGTTTGCGTGAGCCACTGCTGGAAGAGGCTTCAGCCAACTCCTTAACTCCAGCCCACCAGTGGCCCTGGCACAAAGGGGGATTAAGGTTGCGTTTGTCATGATGATGGCTTGTCAGTGCTAAAGTGCCCCCTAGCGGAAATTTAACAGCATTGGTGTATAAATTGGTGACTTAAATGCAAAATCAATTTAGTTAGTCTTTAAGGTGCAAACCTGCTCTGTCTTAAATGCAAAGTACTGGCGTTTCCTAGTCTGCTACCCTCTGTCTTACTCTTGTACTTTCTTTAAAGTGATACATTGGTATGGAAGCAATCAGGACCTGTGGTAGAGGTGATATCTTTTATTATACCAGGTAGATTTTTGCAAAAAAAATTCTTTAAAGACTTGGTCTAATAAAACATACCACCTCTACCACGAGTCCAGGTTGCTTTTGTCCTCTAGACCAATATGGCTACAACCTGGAAACCTGACATATTGGTATGGATAGTTTTGTTTGTATTATGCCCCGAATAAATTGGAGCATCACTCTCTCTTGGTTACCCCTTCTAGGACATTCGGCCGCTCAGTGGGAGTCCATTGTGAATGACGTTAAACTTTGGGCACAGTCTTTGAGCACAGACCATATTTGGACTGCAGATCACTGAGGTCACCTAACAATTTAGACTTGGTGGAGAAAGGGAACAAGAAAATAAGTATTGTGTGTCCAGTTGAGTTAATGGCTGTTCGGTTGTGGGACAGCCCAGTGGCAGTGCAGGGGCGTGGAACCCACAGAACAGCCCTGTGCCATCGGGCTGTTTGCTGACTTTTTACTGACTGTCAGGTAGTTTTAAAGTGATGCCCCTTCAGGGTTCAGCCACTGTTTTGCAAAAGTCCACTAGGTACTGTTCTAAACTGCATAATTTTTAGTTGTGGCCAGATACTTTGCTAAACCATTTTGAAAGGGGAGGAGTGAGGCTTACTGCTTTGAATCTTGCATCTTGAACCAATAAATGAACTGGGCTGTCTACTTTTGCACTAGTATAGTGGAGCCAAACCACTGTACTTTACTTTACTTTCATAGTTTCTAGCATAGTTTCTAAACCTAACAGGTTTAAAGTTGCAGCTTTCACTTGCACTGTAACTCATCTGTCCATTTTATCACCTGTAAAGTGCTATAATTTTGAAGTGCCCTAAGTGTTCATCTCTCCACACCTTCCCCAAGTTCCCTGAACAGAGGTGTTTCTGTCATTAAGCATGCGCTATTTTTGTATTTGTGGGAATGCTGCTACATCATGGGACCAGCCTCTAAGTTAGCTGTCAGCTGAATGGCATTTGTGTAAATAGTACCATAGCATCGAATACAAATACTGCACAGCTGAGCTGTGTTCTTAGAAATGCCACTGATCTGAGCCCTTGGGGGCAGTGTTTAGGTTTTTTGGGTTAGTACTTCAGCATTGAGTGTAGTGGGGTATCACATAAGAGTGGGAAGCAGCAATGGGACTCGGTAGGGAAAGGAGAAGGCAAGTTTACAGGCATTTATGAGCTGACTGCTGTTTTATTGTGGCTGTTTGAGCTCTTGGATCACAATTGTCTGGTGCTGATTTATTTTAAACTTGCATTTAATTTGATAGGAGCAGGCAGTAAAATCAAGTTTTAAAATCTTTATCATTTCTTGATTGCCAGTGGTTTCTGGGATGTATGTGGATGTGAACAGCATTGTGTAAGACAGTTTTTTTCCTTTCCCTCTCATATTATTGCCTGCTAATGATCAAATGGACAGTTCAAATTTAAATGGGAGACAGCTGATAGCTGGTGTGGGAGTGGTTCGGGTTATTGATCATTGATGTTCTTCACAGCTTGATAGTTTGGCTTCCCTGTATGTGCACAAGGAGAATGTGATACGCTCCTTTGGGCCTAATGTATGTAGACATGCAAATGGTTGTAAAAGCAGATAATTATTTTTGCTTTAACAAGGTAGAGTATGTGTATCATGGTTTAGTGCATATCTGACAAACTATATTTCCTGCTGAATAAGGTTGTGGTTCAGCAAGAAGGAAAGGGAACTAAGAAAGTGCTGGACTGAAGCACTCTTTCCATTTGAGCGGTGCGTGCTATGATGGCAACTCCTCGCAGCACTGGTAATTTAGGGATATGTGTACAACTTGGGCATTCATGTTTGGCATCAGGAGCTCTTCCCATGTCTGTGTCCAATTCCAAACCTCATTTTCATCATGGGGCTGGTCCGTGCCACCTCTTCTCATCATATCTCCATCTTGAACTGGTATCCTGAGGCTGGTGACCCTAGGCTAGCAGCAGAGCATGCAGAAACTCTGGCGGAGGCTCCTGAAGTCAATGAGTCCAGAAGAACCAGTCCACCAGGCACCTGATTGCCCAGCAGGAAGGTTTGAGGCTGACCAGGTGTCACCTGGCAGAGAGGCATGGATTGGCCAGGTGTGCTCAGCACAGCATGTTTTTTTCTTTCTGAAACCAGGAGAGGGTTGCATACTCTAGGGGTAGAGGGGTGAATCCAGTGCAATTATTCGAGAGCTGTGAGGAAAGGGCAACAGGGGTGCAGGCATGTGTTTTACCTTGCTCTTTATATCCTGTTTGCTGTCTGAAGTAGAGTGAGCGTTTTTATAAACCCTTCTGCAAAGTCTCTGCATTACTTGCTACCTCTATTGCATGCCCTTGACCTACTGGGGGAGGGTCTGCTTAAGCTTACTGATGAGATGAGTATTGATGCTAGGAGCTTAAGGTGCCTGGCTTTTGGGGTCCTGCTCCAGAAGTCCCACTAGAGACTGGGTCAAGACCCCCACTGTGTGTATTCACACAGTATTCAGGAGCTGTGACCGCTCCACCAGCTTCACGCTGGTACAGTGGAATAAGCCACTTCCCTCCTGAACCATTTAGCATCCAGCTTTGCACGTTGCTGTAGGAAGGCAGAGCGTTTCCTTTCCCCAGGTAGGAGGTTGGGTGACCCAGCCTTGCTGTACATGTGGCCCTTGCCAGGTGACACCGGGAGGTGTGGCAGCTCCCGTGTTTGTCCTAGCACTTCCTCTCTTCCCAAAGCATTTTGACAAGTCACTTTAGTGTAGGATAGTTGTCTGCCCTTGTTATGTTGTGTAGGCCCTGCAATGAGCAGGGTCGCTGAATGAATTGATGATAGGGAAATTATAAGGCTGAGCTTACAGGGCATTGCCATCTGCTGTCCAAGGTCTGTAATTTAATTATAGTCGCAAACATCCCTTTTCAGATAACAACACAGAAAGTACTTGCATGAACTGGAGTGATTCCAGGGACTATGTGGAGCAATGTTTTGGGTTATGTCTTAGTTAGGGCAGTAGCCCAGGCCTACTAAATCAGGCCTCTTTGGAAGTTAGCTGATATCAACTGAACTCAGCTCACCCTGTCTACAGGATTCAATAGATTTTTGTCTTGGTGATCTATTCTGTTTAATTTTGTAGCTCCCGGACCGGAGAGATTGGCTTTCCTAGGTGTCTTGACCACTAATCGTTGACAAGAATCCAAATTCCCTTTGAAGCTGTATCTTACGGATTGTGTAGCATTTCATTCAAAAATCTTTCACTGCTTTGTCCTTACCTTGATTTTAAAATAAGTCCGTAAGCAAGGGTATCACTGTGTCTGCAGCAGGGGTAGGAATGCCCAAGCTACCTTTGCACTGGCTAACTTCAGGTATGCCCAGCAGTGTAGCTCCAGCAGCAGGGAGCTCAGTACAAACTGCAAAATATGCCCAAGCTGACCCTATCCATTTAGATGAGTATTTACCCAGTTTCCAGGGCAGATTCAGCAGCCTGTTCCAAGTCGCATGGGGCTGCTGGCAGTATCTGGGCTTGCCAACTTAAAGCCAGCTAGCTCAGACTACATATTCCCAGGAATCAGGAATACAGCGAGTACATGGGCTGGGAGTAAGAATTGGTTGTTTATAACATGCAAGCAACTGGGAATTCAGGAAAAGTGGATTTGTAGGTTCTCTTTTGAGGAAAAGCTGCAGTCAGATTTGCTGAGTCACTTGTGTGTTAAAGCCCAGTATATACCAAAGGAGAAAGGAGTGGTCTTGAGTGATCACTGCAGAGCCACTTTATTATACAGCCTTTTGTTGCACCTGCCTGCACTCTTCCCCCTTTTTTCAAACCCCTCTCAGAGGGACTAGGGGCCAGGGAGTGCTCCCACTGGTGTGAAATACTGGCTATTGCCTCTCATATTTGTATGAAATATAACATTTTTGCAGAGCTTTAACAGCCCTCACTTTGGGCAAGGTACCTGTCCTTGTGTGCTTTGCAGGGGCATGGGGAAGAGAGGAGGAGGAGGGAATATGCCTGTATACGTGGTATGCGGGGCTGTATCAGTTTCTGTTATTGTGATCCCTTCAGTTCAGCCCCTGCCCTCTCCTTGTTTTCCTTATCCTCCTTTGATTCTTTTCTAAAATAATCCTTCCTTCCCTGGTTTTTTTGCTTCTGCTGCTCCTCTCCCCTTCTGGTTCCTTAAGCTGTGATAAACCCGGTGTGACCGCTGTCCACTTAGGAACAGGTTGGGTACTCCAGACCCAAGCCTTCTATATGGCAGGGGAGGGGGAGTGAATGAAGGGGGGAAAAGAAGGAAGCCTTTGATTGGAGGACCAAGGACTCAAAGTGGCACTACTGCAGACACATAGCTGCCCATCCTGTTAAAGAAGGGTGAACTCGCTTTCAGTACAAGGCCCAGAACCTGTGACCTGGGCCTCGTCCTGTGCAGTGCATGAAACTCTTCAGCTTGGTGTTTGCAGGAGGGGTTGTGATACCGCTCCCAATACCGCATGTTCGTCTGGCTGTGGTTTGGGTTCTGGGAGATGGGAGTATTCTCTAAAAGTGGTGAAAAGGAAAGGTATGGTGAAAGGGAAAGAGTTATGTTAAATACGCCAGTAAATTTGGCTTCAGCTTGTTGATTTCTTTCATCGATCAAATTGGATCCCAAGCTAAAACGTGTCTTGAGTGTATTTTGCCCGTGGTGGATAAGGGAGCTCGTCTTGTGCTAGGCAGTTAAATCAATCCAGTTTTAACCTGGTATATTTAAAAGTGATGGCTTTGTGCCACCTGAAACCCACCCACACACGCTTTCTGCCTGTCTACAGGGACTTCAAGAGCAAAAATGTGTTGCTGAAGAATGACTTAACAGCAGTTCTAGCTGACTTTGGACTGGCCGTACGGTTTGAACCTGGAAAACCCCCAGGGGATACCCACGGGCAGGTAATTATTTTCTTTTCTTTAAAGAGTTGTTGGGCTTCCCACATCTGGGCACATTTCCTGATGTGTGTGGGTAGCATTTTCATAAATGGAGGAGAAAGGGGATGGTTACTGGGGGACAGGAGATTGCAGGAGTGCTTGATCCTGACTAATTTGCAAGGTTATCGACACTAAATCTCTCTTTAGGCACTGGTTTTAAATGAGCTGTATTGGAAGCATTTGACCAAAGAGCAGAAGTTGGGGTAAATGTGGAGCAAGGTCTAGACCCAGTTTGACATTTGTGTCATCACTACCACATGCAGGTGTTTCAAATTTAATTCCATTTAAATTATTGGTTGCAAGAAACAAAAGGTCTTGCATTCTTGATAGTGGCACAAGATCTTAAATTTCCTGTACTGTGAGATGCTTTCTACCTGCTGTTTTTAAGGTAATGTGGCTCCACTAGTAGCTTTTAATCTGCTGTTGCAGAGGAAAGCAGCTAGTTTGCCTTTCCGGTAGCATTCATCATCAGTTGTGCAGTGCTGCATAGTGAGGAGGTGGAGTCCATCTTGACCCCAGGAGATAATCGGCTTATACCATGCAATGTGAGATTTGATCAATCTTTATTGTTTTAGCATCAAATATTAATAGTTGCAAAATTATTCAATTATTTTTTAAAATTCAGCCATTGTAGCTGCCTGCCTGACCTTTTGCAGCAATAAATCTTGTAAGCATGCTGCATAAAAAAAAATTTCTACAGTTTTATTGGTTATAAATTTGATGCCTTTTAAATTTCAACGAATGACCCCTGGTTCTCATGTACCCAGTGAGTATAAAGAAGGAACCAATAATTTTACTTTTTATACCCTTAATATTTTTGAATGTGCTATACAAATCCTCTCTACTACTTTGTCTTTGTCCCAGAAGGGAGTCGTGGCAGTTACCAGTGCCAGTGGAAATCCAGCCACAGCTTTGACCATTTTTGTTACCCTTCCCTGGATTTGTAGGCTACTCCTTCTGCACCTTGTATTTAGTATTTGCCCCACAGTCGGGCATTGCTAAGAGGAGTAGTTTGTCACAGACTTCCCAAGAAAGGCTGAATTCCAGCACTGAATTGGGTGATATTCTGATTTACTCTAGTCTCTTTCTTTTCCCACCAGTGCTACTGCTTTTGGAGGTGGTGGGGGAGGTCCACTGCACACACCCACCATGTGGGTTTGCAGCTCTTTTATGTACGGCTGGAGCTGCCTTCCCAGGGTTATAGATTGCCTCTCTTCAGAACACGGTTAAGAGTGTTAAACCATTTCTAATTCACCAGTCTTCCATTCTTTTGTAAACTTGAGCCATCAGATGCAATCAAATAACAGGGCCTAACTAGAGCTTAGGATGTTTCAAGTCTCTCCAGAAATGACTTTATGTGCGGGTATGTGCTAGGATGGCTGGAGAAACAATTTCAGCCATGGTTGTCTTAGCTCATTGCATTTAGTTCAGTGAATAATAATGATCTAAATGAGTATCATATGCATGCACATGCAGTAAGGGGTCTGTGCTTTACAACTGTTTTGCATGAGCGCTATTTCTCATTTCCATGAGGAATAGCGCCAAAAAGAGCTTTTGTTTGAAGCCAACTTAGCAGAACTAGCCTTGTAGTTGGCAGAGCCGCTGCAGTTCATACAAACCCACCTATCTCTTGATTTGGCCAAGACAAAATTTCACTTGATTCTGTTTTCTCTCTCTGCATAGGTGGGAACAAGGAGGTACATGGCTCCTGAGGTGCTAGAGGGGGCAATCAACTTCCAGCGAGATGCCTTCCTGAGAATAGACATGTATGCAATGGGACTAGTATTGTGGGAGCTAGTCTCCAGGTGCAAAGCAGTCGATGGTAAGTGTAAAGTTCCCCTTATCTCTGTGGATAACTCTGCTACAGTAGAGCCATTTCGTCCGGAGAATAGTGATGGCTTTGTGGAGTTAATGACATGCTCTTTTTCATGGATTTCTTTTTTAATACAATACAAACATGAGAAAAAACTTATAACAACTGTACATGTCAATGATGAGCATTCAGCAGTAAAAGGAAGAAAGAAAGGAGGAAAAGAGTGGGATGGAAAAGAAGTGTGCAATGAGCAACACTCTAGCTATCAAAACACTCCAAGAATTTTTTTTCCAAATTGTACTAAATTTTTCAAAGCAGTTAAACTTGTTAAACATGACTCTCTCCATAGGTGCCAGCTGTGCCATCTTGTTGTACCTGATTTTAACTTTTGAAGATGTCCTACTTTTCCAGGGCAGCATTTATAAGCCTGCATGTTACTATCAAGGCCTACTGCAAGAACGCTAACTCAGAAGGAAGGGTTCAGTTTGAATTCCTTGGGGACAGACCCAAGAATATGCATATTTGCCAAAGGTATCAATGCTGTGTTCCAAACCACAGTAACTCTCATTACAATTTCTTTCCAAAAAGAGCTAATAGTAAGACATGGCCAAAACATGTGACAAAGCATTGCCTACAATGCATCACATTTCCAATGTGAATCTATCGACCCCATATTTAAGTTTTTAAGTTTAGAGGGAGCCCAGTGCAGACAAAAGATGATCTTCTGTTGTATAAAACTAAGCCTAAGATCAGTTGCCGATGCTTGAATATTGTAAATTGCTGATTTCTACCTGGGTTCTGGATATCTAAGTTTCTATTCCACTGCATTCTTAAATAGTTTTTATCAGGTCCGTTAAGTGACATTTTATATGCATAGAAAGATGGCATAGAATGGGAAAGAGAAGCAGATTTCAAGGCAAAAATAATGTATTTGGAGTGATGGCATGTTCTTATTAAGCAGCGAATCTGTTTTTGAAAACAGACCGTTATTCCCCCTGGATTTTGCAGTGTTTAAGTGTCCAAGTATGTTACTAATATACCAATTATTGCAAAATGGTTGGGAGCCCGCTATGGGGGTGGAGGAAGGAGAGAACAGTTCCTCAGTTGACAGTGGGGCTTCTTTCAGAGCGTTCAGTATGCTCCGTGCAGCATGCATCTGCTGCCAGTGAAAGGGAGTCTCATGTTTTGTCAGAACCTACTTGCTTTCACTTAAGTTCAGAGCTTGCTTAGGTCTCAGAAGAAAGACGTGCTGGGGCTGACATAGCTGTCCTAGCCCCTGTAGACTTTATGATGATGCTGTCCAAATTGCAAGAACGAAACCCTAAACACTTCAATTAAAAAAAAAAAAAAAAAAAGTAAAATCAAAGCCTTTAGGAACTAAGGACTGCCCCCTGCTATCACAGAAACTAAGGCCTTTAATCCTGTGCATAAAAATATGAGGTTTCATCTCAAAACTGGCCAAGGTTGATTGCATTGCCCCTGTTGCTGCCTTCGGTAGCTCCTTTCTGAAGCCTTGATTCTCTGGTGGTTAGCCACTAGAGTTTGCTGCCCTGGCATCCCTGGGCTTTTCCTTAACGTTCCCTCAACAAAATAGTGCTTGAAACTGTGGTATCTATCCCACATGCTGCCGAAGGTGCACCATGTGCTGTTAGTACAGTTGGTCTTGAATGACAGGGTTGCTGTGTTTAGGAGGTTGCCTGATGTTGTCAGAACTCAGGTAGATGCAGAAGCATCATTTTGTTTCTGTCGGCTTCAAGTCTGACTTGAAATTCTGAACTTTTGGGATTGAATCAGGCAATGGACAGTCCAGTCCTTAAGGTGCTTATTACTCAATATTATTGCTGGTTTGCATTACAGTAGCATTTAGAAACCCCATTGTAACTGGGGTGTTTGATCATATACTTTAAATAGAGCTTATTGTCTATACCAGGACATGGGAAGAGCAGCAGGAGGAGAGTGGTACCATGGAGGTGAAAGAGGCCATTAAAAGAGACCTTGTACAACACTCATTGAAGTCAACAGGAAGGCTTCCTTTGACTTGAGTGGGAGCTGCATTGAACACAAAGAGCAGTTCCGCTTCTGAAGGGTCTTTGTATAGACAGAGCTTTCTTGCTCAGCACACTGGTTGCATAAAGCCAGTGTCATGTCTGCTGTGCCAAATGTGTTTAGTCTTGTGGATGGCAGAACCTCTACAGCAATGGGAAGTTGACCTGAATTGTAATGATTCACCCTGCAGCAACAAAGCTTTGGACTGCCAGTTAAAGACAGTGGGATGCACATGCATAATGTGGGGTAGCAGGACCTGTAACTGCTGGAGGTATACATACCAGCAATAACCCTGCTCAGCTCACGAATCCAGGTTGAACGTACAAGGCTGGCAGTTGGAGAGACCCCCCACGCCCCCAATATTGCAGCTTGTCAAGTAAGAATATTTTATATGGAAGTAATTGATACCCAATAAGCAATATATCTTGCAACACCTTCAGGCTTACTGCAATGACCCTCTTAATTGGCCTGTCCTTAAAGGCTCTTCTCACTAAGTCTGTTCAGATTTAGTGAGTTCATCTGTGGACTGGCTTCCCATGCATTTCCAGGTACATTTTGACCCTCAGTTTGGGGTTTTGGGTGTTTGCTGAAATCCAGGACACTGTTAATTGAAGCTGTTCTCAACCAAGCAAAAATACCCTATTGCGTTTTTATTAGCATTGTTCTTATATCTGTTGAGCTGGATTGTACTTTGACCAGAAAGTTTGGGCTTGTTTCAGTCATGCTACCACATGAGCAGGAAAAACAAAACAATTGAACTGTTCTTCAGAATATTTTAACACTGCGTTCTTGAGGTCCAGCAGTTCTTGTTCAGATAAAATCACCCCACTCTTGTTTTTATGTTAGTTTGAACAAACCTGCTTGAAAGTCACCATTTGATGCTGAGAAACAATGAGACTTATCTGAGAACCCTAAAGCAACCCCATCATTTTAAATGGGCTGTCATGTGTCGGAGTACAAGCAAGCACGACACAACACCAAATGATGTTTCAATAAACCCAAGTTCTAGGTGTAGTCTGGAACCTGTGTTGCATCTTTCAACAATTTTCATGTGGTCCAGGTCATTCTAGATCCATGCTTGGCAGCGTTCTCCTCCTGCACTTGCAGGTAGGAACAGTCAGTAGCATGCTTTAGCTGTCCTTTTACACTGTTAACTCGGGAATGGTACACAGGTATTTTTCATGTTGTGGTTGCCTACATGTTAAAAGTGGACTTGACCCAGATAAGTTTCTCCAGATGCTGTGCTCCAAAGCAGCTTCCAAATTGTGAGGCCCTAATACATGGCTCAACATTATGGGTTAATCTTAGCCATATTTAGCTGTAACGTATTCCTGCATTCTGGCTTGGGTTATTAGTGTAAAGGTCCATCAAAACCCTGAAAAAAGAATTGCAAGAACTTGCTGTTCATTGCAAGATGTGGCTTCCTGTGAAGATGTCCTCCTTCCAACAAGGATAACAGCACAACTGCGTGGCAGCTACATACTAAGTATGAATTCCTTAACCAGCAATGGCTTTTATTGGAAAGTGCTTAGAACAACCTGGTGCAGTAATCAAAACCAGCCAGCTAAATGACGGCTGTATTGACTTAAGCCTATAAACAGGTGAGGTCATGAAAGAACCAGTGAAAAATATTTCATGGGTACTAGACCATAGAAATTAGTACCCAAAGCAAAATGTCTAGCAGTTTAAATATTTGCTGCCAGAAGAATAAATTCAAGATTTGATGAATAAGGGTTAATTCATTTAAACAAACAAAACCTCTCTAATTTCTAGTAGGAAAAGGACATTTGGACTGTTGTGGAAAAGTTGGGACTTGTAACAGACCCTTGATATGAAATTCAGGGATTGAAGCAGGTAACAGCAACCTTACTGTAGAGGAGCATAAATCATGTCTCTCTAGAAGGACACATGAAGCATGTTCACTGTTTATGCTTTGCTTTGCAGGTGTATGTTCTTGTTGCTGTGGAATTGCACCTCACAAAGTGAAGAGGCTTTCTGGAGTCCTTCTCTTTACTAATACCGTTCTCTCCATGCACCTCAGGTCCAGTGGATGAATATATGCTGCCTTTTGAAGAAGAAATTGGTCAGCACCCATCCCTTGAGGACCTGCAAGAAGTGGTAGTTCACAAGAAGATGCGCCCTGTTTTCAAAGATCACTGGCTGAAACACCCTGTATGTCCCTTGCTGTTAATGGTTTCAAATGTTTTTCCTAGTACTTAGAATTAGGGCAGTTGAGCAGTAACTGTTAAATTAGAACCAATTAAAATAGGGAAATTATCTTTCACAGTTTGGCAGAACACTGTTGTCTTGAGGCATAAACTAAACTGCAGATGAACTTCTGATGGGACTAATTTTCCAAAGAGCGCCCGCCAGTCCTGAGCATTTCTAAAAATCAGGCCCCAACTCCCTTGGCCGTCTCCCTTTGTAGCCAGCAGCACAGGGTTGGGTACAAGGACACTTGCAGTGTCCTTTCCCTTGGGCAGTTTAGCTGCTCTTTTAGTTTGATTGCGATTGGCTGTTTCACCTTCTGTTGCCATCATTAGAAATGGAACGCAAGCAAATATTTTGTGACTCTTTGCTACCATTAGAGTTATGTCGTAGCCATGATGGTCCAGAAATTATGCAAGAGGCAAGGATTTCCCTATGCAGAATGTTTTGCGTTCATAAGCTTGTCTAACTGTATCCCAGCTATGCAGTTGGGCCAGTAAAGTATCACCCATAGCCATCCTTGCCTCTTGCATTCGTTTGAGACCACATTTAGTATGGCAAGAGCATAGTAAATGCAGTAGCTATTTTTAAGCGAGGAGGGAAATTGATCCAGTCTACTATAGACATGTAAGTCTGATCTGAATAGCAGACAAGGCTTCAGAACAAATTTTGAGGGAAAGATTAATTAGATATAGAAACAAAGGGAGAATGGGATAAAGATGCAGCATGCGTTTATCAAAGGCGAGGCTATTATCCCTGATATAACTAATTGTTGATACAAAGGAAGTGCAGTAGATCCGTGCTCTGGTAAGAAGCTATGTATTTAAAGCCAAATCTGAACTAAATGAGAGTGTACTGATGAAATTTGCTGACAATAAAAACTGGGAGGGGTTGCAAACTCTTTGGAGGATAGGATTACAATTCAAAGGGGCCTTGGTAAATTGGAGAACTGGGCCGAACAGAGCAAAATGAAATTCAGCAAGGATCAATGTAAGATGCTACACATAGGGCACATCTACATGCGTGCCAGACTCTGCAGTTCTTACTGTGCAGTCATTTAGTACTTGGTTAAGCCACATGGGTTTTTTCCCATGCTACTGTGTAGTAGCAATGAGCTACTGTGCAGTAGTGTCGGTGTCACAGTTCATGCCTGCCAACACTACGTCACTGTAGCAATGAGCTACACGACATAGCTCGTTGCTATGGTGGCTTACCATAAGGAAGAAAGCAGGTGTACAAATAAGAATAGAGGAGAGGAGGGGAGTAGTCAGGCTGTAGCGCTGCTGAGGAGGATCTGGGGCTTATGGTAGGTTACACATTCAACATGAGTCAACTCTGTGACGTTGTTGTAAAAACCGCACGTGCCATTTTGGGTTGCATTACCAGAACGTTTGCGTGCATGACAGAAGAGTTGATGGGACCAACCGTTTTCATGATGGTGAAGTCTCAGTTGGAGAATATGTTGAGCCTTGGGCATTTATTGTAAGAAGGATGACGATAAACTGAGAAGGGTCCTAAGGTGAACAACAAATGATGAGGGTGGAAAGCAAGCTGTATGAGGAAAGACAGAAGGAAGTATCTGTGTTTAGTTTGGAGAAAATGAAGCTATAGTGGAAAAGGACATTGTGATAGCAGTCTTCAAATATTTGAAAGGCTGCCTGCCTTCTTATTCCATCATCAGAAGACTAGCTGTGCCAGTCTTAGGCAGATTCAGTGGTATGTAATTTTCCAAAAATTGGGGACATTAGTTGTTGGAATATGTGGCTAAATCTTGCTTATTCAGAATTCTAGGTAACTTGGGTTCAAATAATTGGAGGTTAGCAGTACTGGTGGTGGGGTGTTTAGCACAGTAGCTCTGTAGGATGAATACACAAATGAAGATGCATTTCATTAGGAATATGATAAAGTTATGGTGTTGGTAGCAGTACTACTGAATCGTATGATTTTATCCTCAATATCACAGTACTTGACTTTTCTGCCTCAAAGCCTTGAAACCTAGGTTGAAAACAGATGTCCTCTTTGGAGCATAATCAGCTGTGCCATAATATGCCATGGCAGACCTGAGCTTCTACAAGAATTTCTAACAGATGTTGCCAGTGCTGCCACCCTCCAGGGTCTGTCCCCTGTGCCTCCCAGGGCTTCAGGGGCCTGGTCCTGGGGAAAAAAGGCCCTGGGTGCTCTGCTCCAACTTGAGGCTTCTTACTTGCGGATGTGTGATAGGGCTCAGGGGAATCTCCCTACAAAGCACGGAGGGGGGAAGTCCTGCAGGATTTCTTTCTTCTGTGTTTGCAGACTGGATGCAGGAGAGTGCCTCCATAGGGGGATTCAAGTGAAGAGTGGGGAGCTCCCATAGGGGTCCCCCCCTATGCTGATACACTGCACCATGACTCTGAACATGGCAGCATGATAGGCATGCCAGGGCCCGGTGCCCTTTTCTCATTTTTCTCACCGTCACACCCCAGGTCAAGGCGCCATGTGCAAGAGAAGTGGGGGAAACCCTACTGGACTTCTCCCTTCCGTGCTTTGCAGGCGTGCAACACAGGCACACCTATTTGGAGGCGCCTCCTTGCTCCAGTATCAACAACATTTCAAAGAGAACCTGTCTGCTAAGTGTGCTTGTGTCTCCCAACTTCTCCGCAGGGTTTGGCGCAGCTGTGTGTGACAATTGAAGAATGCTGGGACCACGATGCAGAGGCCCGACTCTCAGCAGGCTGTGTCGAAGAGCGTATTTCTCAGATCCGCAAATCACTAAACGGCACTACCTCGGACTGCCTCGTTTCCATCGTGACGTCCGTCACAAATGTGGACTTGCCGCCCAAAGAGTCTAGTATCTAAGTCCTGGTTCGCTTTTTTTTTCCAGACTCAGTGGATTTAAAGAAAAAGCAAAAGTAAAAAAAAACAAAACAAAACAAAAACCCAACAAACACATGAATGCAGCTGCTATTTTATCTTGACTTTTTATTATTATTATTGTTATTATTATTATTTTTTTGGATCGGATCATTTTTACCAGCACATTGCTCTACTGTATTAAAAAAAAAAATGGACATCTCAGCAAGCATTCAGGCGCCGACTAATGAATGCAGAAAAGGTGCAGGTACCTCAGAACCTCAACAAACTCGCTTCAGTTTTTTTTTTATTCAGTTTTCTGGGTTTCTCTTTATTGGTCTGTCTTCTACACAGAGCATCTGTGACGTAAAGGAAAACCACCTACCATCTTAGAAAACACAATGCTGCAAACTTTGGAGAAAACTTAAGACTGTTACATAAGATTACACCTTCCTCAAAAGGATATTTTCCCCTGTTTTATTTTTCCCCCCCTTTCTTTCTTTCTTTTTTTTTTTTTTTTTTTTTTT